ACATCGTCTAAGATAACTAGACGCTTATTCGTTTTCTCTGCTAACTGGGTCATAGTTTTGGAATACTGAGGTGTAGTGACGATCAGTTTAGCGTCACAGTCATTGACAAAATACTCCATCATTGGAGGAGGAAAATGTCTACTTAAAGGTACAGCTGGAAACAAAGAGCAAACATTGGAAAAATGTCTGTGAATAACAACAATCACAACTGGTCTCTAAAGCTGGGTTTTTTTGCGTGCAAGCAGAGCGTGGAAGAGTGATTAACATGGCATTCCGCTCCACTTTTAGGAAAAAATAACATTAAATTACCTATGACAAGAGGAGTCCGCTCTCTGCGTTCAGCGCCTAGGAAATCCCGGCTGAAGCAATAAGACTGATCAGCTTATTAATACTCAAGAGAAATATAAGAATAACTTGCTATTGTCTGGGCACCAAAAATTGGTACAGCTTTGATAACTTAGGCTACAGGCCTAAGACGCTAATTGGATGAATAGAGCTACACCGGCGACGCGACAAAGCGGCATCTACCACAGCTACCTCAGCCCGTGGCGCGTTGCCTAGTGGCAGTTGTCGCGCCACTCAGTGTGGACACACATTTTGTCGCCGACAGCAGCGACCGTTGGTTGCGTCGCTCTTGCCGTCTAGCTAGGACAGGGCCTAACTTCTTTTCAATGTTTGTTTTTACACGTTTTCGGCTGGTCTGTGTAACCTTGCCACATACCAACACCGCAGCCTAGAAAGAGGAGGAGTAACTTAGGCTAAAAAATAAGCACAAAAAAAGAATTAAAAAAAAAAACATAACAAGGACCTTGTGGGTTGCCATGCCGGTGACGCAATATAGGCCTTAACAGAAAATCAAAACAAATGGTTTATTTACAGCCTAGGGTGAAAATAGAGAAGTCTATACCAGTACATATTTTTTGTGAGTTTTCAACCACAGGACAACCTATAGTTAAAAATAATTGTGTAACTTAAGTTTTACAAGCAATTAACGCAAAGAATCTTACCAGTCTGTCCACCGATCCAACAAGCCCACTGAGTGACTATGTAGCTAGCGTCATTTGGACACAAAAACACCACTCTTTCGTCACTCTTCCCTTCAACAGCATTACGTATGACCTCTGCAAATTTTGTACTTGAATCTAAGAGTCCAGAGTATGAGTACTCGCCATGTTTGTCCCGAAGTGCACTTTTTTCACCATGCAGAGCTGCGTACTTGTATACTGGCTGGTCAAATTTGACATGTTTACTGAATCTACCATCCCTAAATGTCTTGTTTATCGGCACTGTTGATGTATGTTGATAAAGTTTTTGAAGTTCTTTCAACCCCTTTCTAAAAGTCACATTTCCCGATGTCTGCCGACCAGAGGAGAGTAGTGTTAAGAGAAACAGCATTCTGGAAAATCACAAAAGCTATTAACAAAATTGCATGAATAATAAAATGTTTTATTATAGCCTATTATACTTAAAGACCTAGTCCTAGGGCCTAGGATATAATTAAGTTAGATCCGAATAAAATAAATATGGGGTAACTGATCAGGTAACTGTGTTCATTTATTCATTCCATTGGATACACCATTTACAAAATAATAGCCTATATATTTAAGCACATGAGTAGAATGGAAAGATAAAAATTGCATTTGAAATAACAAGAGAAGCTACATATACCATTGAACAAAACAGCATTGCAACAAAAAATAATAACCACAAGATAGCAACGTAGATAATAACATTAACAAAGTATAATAACAACAAACAGATTAAAAAAAAAAATATTTAATATTAATTTGGATTTCAGAAAATGCATGTAGACTTTGAAAGTATATCTCCTGAAGATTTAACAATGTATTATAAACTATGATGACAATAACTTCTACGTGAAACATTAACAACAATAAATATATCAATGAATACCAAGAATTAAACAAATTTTGGGACAAAACAAACATACATCATCTACAAAACAGGCATAGCAAAGATAATGTTAGAGGTTTTTCTTCTGAAGGAGGAAACTGTTTGAAGAAGTTGACTTTGTTTCCAAGACGCTGCAATCTTGCCAATCCACAATTGAGAGAACAGTTAGTTGGTGAATACAAGTGAGCAAAAGTATCTGAAGATCGTGTTCCTCTCAGTATAAGGAAATTAATTCCCTCCAGTAGGCCGGTAGAATCGATCTCACCACGAACGTGGACCATGGACGTTGAAGCACTCCTGGAGCTCTAAGATTGGTGGGGCACGATACTCATAGCCCAGGCGGACACCTAAGACTCGGAGGAAGCGTAACTGTACTTTATTTATCATTTCAATATGGCCAAGCTGATATGGTGACCAGATAATTGAGCCATACTCCAAAACTGGTTGAACTAGGGTCTTATATAACACCAGAAGTGACTGTGGGGACTTGAAGTCTCTTGATGATCTAAGGATGAATCCAAAGATGGAATTGGCTCTTGCGATAATATGAATTATATGCTCAGCAGGACTCAAGGTAGAAGTAAGTATTACACCAAGATCCCTCACACGGTCTTCGTACGTCTCCGAATATCACCACCAATTTTGTAGTCAAAAGTGTTACATGTTACAAGTCTTGTGAATGAGACAACAGATAGGCCTACATTGAGTTCCATTGCATTTTCATAGCACCACGTCTCGACGTTGGTGAGAGATCGTTGGAGATGTTCGTGGTTTTAAGAATGAGGAGATCCGGGAAAATATCTTGAGGTCATCAGCAAACACCAAGCAGTCTGATGTCAGTACACCAATTGATTAACTTATGTCATTTATAAATATATTAAAAAGTTGTGGACCGAGGTGAGAGCGCTGAGGAACACCGGAACACTGTGTGTGTCTTAATTGTATCCTGTACATTTTATTTTACATTCCAACGGACAGCTCCATTTTGATATTGGTAAACTTATGATCAAGACTTTCTGCCGACTAGTACAATAAAATGATTGATAGTAAGCCTACTTATGTATTGCAAGTTATTTAGAATAAAAGTTAACTACAGGGTTTTACAAACATTTGTCAAAACAATGTTTAAAATGTTTCTAGTAAGTTATTGTAACAGCGAACCCACAAACTCAATGAGTCAATGTTAACCCTACTGTATTGTTATTCAAAATAAGCCTAAATAAATGCTTAGTAACTTTCTTCAGGATGGCAATGTTGATGGATAATTTTTAGGTAATGTGCCCGTTTTTGTCATAGTAGGCTAACTTAATTATATTTTTTTAAATGGGCCTAGTCCTTCTTTGGGAGGTGACTTTACAACCTCAGCATTGAAATGTTGAAATAAAATAAAATAACCAAAAAGAGTTAAGTTTAAAATAACTAGAAGAGAAATAAAAGATCAGTGACTAAGTTAATTTAGGCCTATTTTTAAATCTTTAAGAACAGTGATTTACTATTAAACTTACTTGGGTTAGGACTCGGCTATTCACTATTGTAAGTGGAGAAAATCTTCTAAAAGAGGATCCTAGATTGTTGTAATTGCGTCTTTTGAGAATAAGGCTTTAGGTATCTTTATGTGTGTTTAGTGTAAAACACCTTAAAGTTTAGACATTTATTTTGTTTGGTGATGACGAGGTTGACGTTGACTTGACTGAGAGTGAGAGTTCTGTCGTTCTGTCTGGTGGCGTCTGCTGGAGTACTGTACTGACTGAAAACTGAAAACAGAAAACTGAACAGCAGAAGAGCAGATTGAGCATCTTCATCGATAAACAAAATAGCCTACTTTCTCCAGTGTAGCCAATAGAAGCATTCAACCAATGATTTCCCGCCACTATGGAGAATACCAATTTGTTTAAATATAGTTAAGACTTTTGTGCTCTTTTCACTCGATATTGTTTTTAATTTCATGGAAGTCCGAGCGCGTTTACTCCACAAAATGTTTTATGGAGAATTATGCACACTATGCATAGTTGTTATTTTGATAAATGTTCAAAAAAGGATACTATCAAAATATAGGAATTTTTGCACAACTATATCAATAAAAAACCAAATTAGGTACAAAACAAATCCTTTTTCAAACCATTTTGTATATCTTAAAAAACAAATAATTATAAGTATATTGAAGCGTTACTATGCGCCTAATAGTTACGGAGGAAATTCCCAAATATTGTAAATTTAAAATTCTTAATCTTATTTTACCCTCGTGGAGGATAAGTTGACAAAAACCCCATCCGTTCCAAATTTTATACATGTATAATCAAATTAAATATTGTTTGATGCTGTATACAGTGTTTTAAAGTTTTTTTTATAAATTTGATCTTATATTAACAAAATTTGCCTTTGGACTCCCAGTAGAACGAGTTGGTCCATTTTTAAATGGATTTTTTATTAGATCACGTCCTATGATGTCTTGTTGTCTGTGTTATTGAGTACCTAAACTTAGATGTTTGTGTCACCCTGCCTATGCATTTCGCCAGCTTGTGTGGCACCTTCATGGACCTTCTTAATTTATCGTCTTATCACTGCTTTTTGAATACTAGAAATCTTATTACAAAATACCACCTTTTAAGAATATAAAAAGTAGTGTTTTGTAAAGCATTTTGAGCAAAAAAGGCTGTACATATTCAATTTTGCCGTATTGTTTAGAGTTTCTCTTTGTAACCCGATATACCTTTTATTTAAAAATTTACCACATTCATTTAATTTAAGATATGTGTGAACATTATACTGTATAAAATAGAGCTATCTACACATAGAATAAAAAATAACATAAAACATGATCATTAATTGACCTGGAAACTTCAAATTTAATTCAACAAACTTGCAATTGGGAAAAACGGCGGGAAATTGAATTAAATTATACAAGTTGTCAGTGAACTTGACATGAATCTATGAAATTATAGCGCCCCTATTAGGACTGAGCTGGTATGTGCTGTTCTCTCTTGGCGTCGATATGAATCACTGTGAAATTTGCACTAATATCCTTCAGCCAATCATAACGAAGAATCGTCCACAGCCTTCAAAAGCCAAAACTGATTGCAGACGACACTAACCCCAACTAGACGTTAGATAACTCTCAATCTCAAAACGATTTAAAATTTAAGTTGTGTCCGGTAGCAAGTAACGGGCTATTAGTATTCCGGTAGGAGCTTAAAATTGTGCGGTATATGATACGTGTGTGAGGTTTTAATGAGCGTTTTAAGTTGTGTTGTCTGCTAAACTAAATACAGAATGCATAGCAGTGGCTCTACCCACAATGCTGTGCGTTCACACCTATCTACTGGCAGTGGTGAAGTGCAGCCCTTTTCGTGCGGGGTATAATTTTTTTGCAAATGATTGAACTTAGGATAACCGGTCGATTTTACGTTATTTTTCTTTTAGTTAAGTGGTGCGATGTGTTTAGTTAGTTGTGCAGTGCAGTGCGTGAGTTGAAACCCCTGCAAAATAGGTAATTTTGCAGTAAACGAAAGGCAGCGCGAGTCTCAATTGTGCTGCCTGCCTACCATAATAAACTGGCCTAATGTCATGGGGTGCTTCGGAAGTGCGAGCTCAAAAGCGGACCAAGAAGAAACTAAAAAAGGAAAGGAAACGAACAAAAAGATAAATCAACAATTACAAAAGGATAAGCAAGTGTACAGAGCAACGCACAGACTCTTATTATTAGGTAAATTTCATACTCCGGTAGCCCTTCCCATGAATAGTGTCTTATCTGTCAGCCATATTGAGTCGATAGGCTCAACCAGTGTTTATTTATCTTTTATTTTGCTCATATTTTGTATCTAATTCAGGGTTTTGTGTGTGTTTGTGAAGGTGCTGGGGAGTCAGGTAAAAGCACAATCGTCAAGCAGATGAGGATATTGCACGTCAATGGATTTAGTGAAGAGTAAGTAAGATGATTTTCTTAATGTTTGGGCTAGGCCTCTTTCAGAGAGACATAGATTACCATAAGAAACATACCATAATTTGGTTTATGTAGGTAGGTATGTGTTGTTAGGAAATGTCAAATGAAATAGACCTAGGTAGGCTCTTATGGCTAGGCTAGTAACACAGGCTAATTTATCATTTTTAACTTTTAACTTACCTAGCCTATGATAGAACCCTAAGCCACACTTCCCTAAGGCCTATCCCTGTGGTATAAGTTATTAACCACATAACGTGGTATAAGCGTGGTATAAGCGTTAATGTGGTATAAGTTGGTTAACTTATTGTAAAAATGAACTGGTTTAAATAGGCCTACCTTACCTTCTGTTTTTACCATCTCGCTCAAGAGATGTAAGTTTACCGTAGGCCTAACTGAATATAACTTAGGCTAGGCTTAACTTAATGTCTATAGGCCTAGACGAATAAACATCATTTCATTTCAATGATTTCAAAACTGTTCTTATAGGCCATGGAGTGTTGTTAGTGCATGGTTTATTGAAGCTTCGTAGTATTTTAGGCTCAAAGAAGGACATAGCCTAACTTAGATCGGTCCATAAAAGTGCATTAAATTGGTATACAGTCAATGCCATTAACAATTGCTTTGCTCACCTAGTTGAACATTTTGCCTGCTTATTTAGGTTAAAACTGACCTACTTAGGTCCGGTTTCATAATTTAATGGTCGGTTAAGAGATAACTGTACATGTCACATTTATTTTTCTTCCTCGGCTTAAGTGATTGTTTATCATGGTGCAGTAGGCCCCCTCCTCACATTATGGTAGCCTAATTGATAATTGGATTAGGCCTACTTATCCGCCTTCGCTCATAAATATAACAGTTTGTTTACCAACCTTGTTTTGGAAGCGGTTTAAGTAAACTTATCATAACCGCCGCTTTCTAGGAATCTTGGCATTTCCACTCCCGCTCTCGGCGATGGGAACAATAGCCTAAGTACTTAGGCCTACGCTAAGTTAAACTCTACAGGGTGTTACAACAGAGAAGTAAGAAAAAGAGGATACATTTAATTAGCCTATATACATATGGTTGTGTGGTTGTCCCATAAGTTTTAAGCTTGTATCAGGGTGGCGACTCACCGGGAAAACGGGAAATATTATCTAGATAACTTATATCAGAAAATTTGGGATTGGATCAGGGAAAGTCCTATTAGGCCTAACTTACATACCGATAAGCTTTAAATTGCTTTACTATGAATTTAGTTAGTGATTCGTATATCTAAATACAACTCAATTTTATTCAACTTACCACACATTGTAATAAGACCGATAAGTTGTTCAAAAGTTTGTTTTCAGTAATTTCATTCGCTCATTGATTGAAGCTAGGGGTCATAACAACTCAATCTTAATGGGTTCCCTTCAACTTGTACCATTGCATATATAAATTCCTATGTAGGCCTACGTAATTTATTTGTGTCCCATAAAAATTTGCTTGTAATCGATACAGTTGAAACTGAAGTCGTATCGTCTGCTCGATCTCAATTAACTTACTGTAAATTCAGAACGTTCCATTGCCTATACCGGTACATCCCCAGAAGATAGTCAATGGCCGACCTAAACAAGTCTAGTCACCACTCCGGGCTGTGAACTTGATTTTTTAAGTTCTTGTTATTTGGCCATTTCATTTTTAAGTTAAGTTATGTTTTTTCAAACTTTGAATGGGCCCTCTTTAACAATTTATTTATGATCGTCAAAATTTAGTTATTTTTCTTCATGACTCGTATAAATATAAGTTAGTAGAAACTCGATACTTTGACACTTTGTGACTTAAGGGGTGTCGAACTACCATATCGAAATGTCGAACTATAGGGAGTAAATGGAGTTTAATATACCGTACAGGAAAGTAAAAACACAAGTTTTAGGCCTATGTAGAAACCACCCAAATTTATTAAATAGCCTACTTAAAAGCTTAACAGTTTTTTACTATTCATTAATCTCAAGTCAACAATTGATGACAAATTAATGTTCAAGTCATCTTACATCACAATAGTAACCATTAAATATCACTTGACAAAATAACCCGTGTCGAACTACAAGGAGTGTCAAACTATCGAGTGTCGAACTATCAGAGGTTTAGCCTACTGTAGGCCTACTAGGATTGCTTTCATCGCCAGCGAAAGCCAGTTGAGTGGAACGGTCCCGTTTTATGGTTTTTAATAAAGCAATAGCTTAAATTAAAACTATAAGTAAATGTTTAAAACTTAAATAAATTAATTTCATCAATTTAACTTATCAGTTTGTCTCAGAGCTATCAATCTCTATTAAAAGTGACATTTAAGCGAAGATTACATAGGTACATATTATCCTTTGTATCGGTAGTTTTTCTGTTTGCTTGCTGTCATCTGGTAAACCAACAGTTCTGGTTGAACCCGACCAATTGAAATTTTCTCAATCCGGCTAGATTTAGCTTTTCAGGCAGAAATAATCCTGCATGAATCCATATGATTAGCAGATTAAATTTTTTAAATACTTGCTTTGGGAGAATTTCACGTACCGGTACCTAAATATAGTTTAACCATACCTTAAGGTCTGTTTTCTTAAATTTTGTACATTTAACACTTGAAAAGCATTGTTTTCAAGCAAGTGTTCTACATTCAATCAGCCTTAGATCTCAAAACATCGCCAGAAGTAGTTTAATGCTCGTCTTCATTTTCTACAAATATCAGGCAGTTTTTGAGGATGCATTCTAAAACTTCCCTCATGACACTCTTATGCAAATTAGGTACCTATTTTCTTGTAAAACAAAAACGCATAAGCCTATACCGTTAGGGTACCCCAAGTCGTTGTCAAAATGCTGATCCCCTACAACATAACGATCAAGTGTGTTGTAAACATGATACCATCATCAAAAGTATTTCAAATTTTACAATAGGTTGGAAAGTATAGAATGCGTTGTTTAAACTTAAATACATTAAAATTTTACATAATGCTTCATTTGTTAAACAGCTTAAATTGATATAGTTTGTTTAAACTCTTATTTACATAAGATCAATATTATAATATTTAAATTTTATCTATATTTAGTCGACATTGGCACACTCAAACAATTCCGCATAAAATTTCACAATAGGACATGATGAAGTTTACTTGGACTTTTTAAAGTACCGGTACCTAAATAAAAAGATTGCATCTACATAATAGCCTATATTTAGATAAAAATATTAATTCGGTAATACCTAACTGCTGATTCCTGTAGTGTTTTTATTTCCCAATCACATAATATGTACCATTTGCTATAACCTTTAGGTTATTTTATTTATGTAACTTAATCTTAATTAGAATTAAGATTAAGTTAGCCTACATATAAATAAAATCTGTAAAATACTGTGTAAGTTAGGCCTACCTATGCGATGTGTTAGTTTCCAAATGGAGTGTAATACTTTCTCTGTAGCCTAATATTTGATCAGTGGTCATCATCTGAATGCTTATCCTTTGTCCTACTGTGTTTAGGTCGTATATTGGGGTTATTTAAAACATGTGCTTTGATTCTTTGTTTTGTTTACATTTAAAACGTCGTTACCTTATTTTGTAACCATCTTAGCAACCCATAAGGCCAATGTTAATATTTAAAAACTTTGAGTTGCTTTTAAATTATAAAGACATTATCAAAAATTGTTTTGTCTTAAACCTTCCAAACATTTGTTGAAACAACCTTAGTAAGTTTGGCTAAAATATCTTCAGCTGTTAATTGAGTGATAGTGTTAGAAAGTTTGAATTGAAGCCGATACCAAAGAGCTTTGCTTCGCTCCGCTCAACTAAGATCAGTCAGTGAAAAATACAGGTTTACCATTATAAATTAAGGAATTTTTTAATCCTATGAGTAGCCACCAGCTGTTGTACATCCTCTATCATGTAACTAAGAATAAGCTAGGCCTATTCAGTATTTATCCTAAAAAATGTTGCATATTGCCGGTTTGTCATCATCGTTTGTAGCGCAAGCACATCTATGTGGCAAACTGTAGGTAGCCTACTAAATGATACTGTCATATTTTGATCAAATTTATTCATTTCATAATAAGCTGTTGACATTTTACTAAAACGTTTAATTTACCTTCCCTCTGCTGCAAACCTGTAAACCTACTCTATAAACCTAATGTTAATTAAATGGGGAATAAATCTGACATGTTCAAGTAAAACATCATCATGTATTTCATGTATTATCATGTATTTAGCATTCTATTGAGTATTGAATATTGTTCAGTTTTTGTATACATCTATGTATTGGCTTAGCCGTTGGCATGTATAAATAAATAAATAAATTTGAGTAAAGATCTAATCAGGCTAGCTGAAATTCTCTTAGTCCCTACTGTTTTGCTGTGGTGGAGATACCTATTAAATTTTCTTATGGAATCCGAAAAAACAAAATCAATAATCTAAACAAAATACAAATACAACTAGGCCTAGTTATTTTAAGGTTAAACCATAGACTAACCGGCTAACCAACACAAGTAGACTTCTCATCCCATTGTAAAATTTGAAGCTTATTTTTCGTGTCTAGTTCACGTACAGTGAAACTGGGCGCTAGTATTGAAGAAATTTTGTTTCTATTATTTTAGGGTCAATTTCTTGATTTGTGCTTTACTGTTTGGTTGTATAACTAGGGGAAGAGTTATTGTTTATATGCTTCAACGAGGTTTTTAAATGACTGAAATAACAAGAAACAAATCTTAAACAAACACCACCTCTACAGTGCATCGTACAGAACTAAACAACAAAATTGGCTTCAGCTGTTCCATAAGGTTGAGAAATCTATCAAGGGAGTATGTTTTATCCAAGGTTAAACTCAATATCACTTCCAGCATCAATTTTTCAGACAGGCTAGTCTGTAATAGCCTATCTAATGTTATTAGCAAATTCACACAACTCAAACTTGTTTTAATGCACACACTGTGTTACTGTGTTAAATGCATCTACACAAAAATGTATTAAAGTAGGCCTACAGTAGTTGTT